TACTATTGTCTATATTCATTATACAGTGCATTAGCTCTCTATGACTTATTTACTACTTGTTACAAGTTTGTACCCTTAAATAGCATCAGTCTTATCCATCTCCCCCCACCCAATCCCCTGGTGAACCACCCTTTTATGCTCTCTTTTTTATAGATTTCACTTTTTAGATTCCACATACAAGTTATATTATTCAATACTTGTCTTCCTTTGTCTGACTTACCTCACTTAGCATAATGTACTAAAGGTCCATCCTTGAGTACATTGTTGTTGCAAATGGGAGGATATCTACCTTTCTCATAGCTAAATACTATTCCATTGTATATATGTACCCCATCTTTTTTATCTGTTCATGTCTTGTTGGTCATTTGGGTTGTTTTCATAACTTAGCTATTGTAAATAATGCTGTGGTAAACATGAGAGGGAAGATATTTGTTCAAAATCCTGTTTTCATTTCCTTTGAATATATACCCAGAAGTGGAATTGATGAATTATAACGTTGATCTATTTTTAAATTTTTGAGGAACCTCCATATTGTTTTCCATACCAGTTGGACCCATTTTCATTCCCACCAACAATATAAAAGGGTTCCCTTTTCATCACATCCTCACTACCACCTGTTGTCTCCTGTCTCTTTGGCGATAGCTAAAGGGGTCGTTTTTTTTTTTTTTTTTTTTTTTTAATTTTTTTTTTCAACGTTTTTTATTTATTTTTTTGGGACAGAGAGAGACAGAGCATGAACAGGGGAGGGGCAGAGAGAGAGGGAGACACAGAATCGGAAACAGGCTCCAGGCTCCGAGCCATCAGCCCAGAGCCTGATGCGGGGCTCGAACTCACGGACCGCGAGATCGTGACCTGGCTGAAGTCGGACGCTTAACCGACTGCGCCACCCAGGCGCCCCAAAAGGGGTCGTTTTTAATACTCTAGGGTAAAGATGTACAGTAAGGGAATGCATAGACATGAGCTTTATTTATTCACTCAGCGTACACTTTTTGAGGATCTTTTATATTAGGAAACAACCATGAACCACATAGACAAGGACACTCATCTCAAAAAACTTAGGTGAGTGGATGATTACCCTAGGACTCCAAAGGCCTTGCAGGGAATTATGGGAGTCTTTCACAGTGGCACATGGTCCAGATCTGTGGGATCAGAGAAGACTTCTTAGAGGAAATGATGTCTAAAACTGGAAAACTGAGGAGACTAGCTTTCCTCTCTTTTCATGCCACAATATCTTACTTGAGAGCCAAAATAAATGAAGAAATGATGGCATTCCTAATTTGGACATGCACGTGAGCCCTTCAGGGATCTTTTCTAGATTCCTTTTGAATCTAGATGTCCTTTTGAAAAGATGTCCTTTTCATCTTCTTCGAAGGGCTTGGTCATTAAAATATTAGACATAATTCTTATTGCTCATCCCAACTCAGCTGTTACTAACCCTGGGAAGGCAGCCCAGGAGCTTTTTCTAAGGATGGATTGAAACACAGAAGAGGATTGACTTGGGAAAAGGTCTAAATAAAAAGATTTTTTCAAGATTTTGTTACATGCTGAGCAAGAAGGTTTTTTTTATGAGTTCTGTTAGATGCTAATAGCTTTTATAAATACTCTTAATATAAAAGCATACACTTATATACGTGGAACTTCTCTTTCCAAAGATTTTTGATGATGATAGCAATTCAAGGAAGGATGTAGAATAGGCATTATCTTCCTTATTTAATATGGGGGCACAGAAGCAGTGAGAAACTACGTCATTAGTTTGTGGCAGAGCTGTGCGGGGCCCCCCAATCCTGTGCCCTGCCATGGCTTTCATATGATAGGACTCTGAAGAATCTGCTGCAGACTGGAGGGGGCACCAAGGAGTTTCCCTTGTCATTTCATAGCTGTGGGGCACAAGTTCATCCTGCGTGGGGTAGGCATGTAGGCACAATGACTGGTTAAGTAGTGTAACCCTTGGGATATACCTTGCCTTTTTGTACTATAAAACTGTTTTATTCACACTCATATATGATTCTCACAATCATGGGTGAAGATAGCATTATACTCTCGAGGAAAAGGATGCTGAACCAAGCAAAGTGGCTTGTTTTACATCTTACAGCTAAGTGATTCTGAATAAACGGAAGTCTTCAAATTGCTAGCCTGGTGTCCTTTCCACAGCAGATTGGGGCTCCAAGTCTGAAAAGCATGGAAAATGCACATCCTATGAATGGACATTCAGGTATGGAGGTTCAGTTACCCCCAAAGGAAATGATTTATAAACATGTATCATGTGCTTCTTTGCATGACCTTAATCAAATTTCCTACCCACAACACTGAATGCTGCCATACAATTTTTTCTCATTTGGATGCAAATTATGTTTTGTAAATTCAGATATAATTGACACATAATATTGTATTAGAGAAATACATTTTTCTCGAGTGGATGAAGAAGGGGTTGGATTACAGTGGTCTCTAAGGTTTCTTCCTGCTCTAGAATGAAATGGTACAATTTGTGTTGCATATTATTGTTAGTTTGAAAAGAAATGAGGATTTTTGAAAGAAAGATGTAGAAGACAGGAAATTTATCAGAAATAGTTTTAAAGAGGAAAATGACACAATGATTTTGGCATTTTATGGTGTTCCATTTTTCATTGAACAAAGTGTTATGGGCACTATTGGACCCTACCCTATTGGACCTTATAGTTGAATAGGGGAGGTAGTCTTGAATCTGGTAATCACATAGACTTTACAGGGAACGATGAGATGACCTAACGGAGACCTGAGAATAGCCGAGATACAAAGGATAAGGAGTCAAACAAGCTTAAGGAGTAGAAGAGTGACAGGGAAAAGTAGCAGAGAGCATTCCAACTGCAAGAATAACATATTCAAAGGTCCTGTGGTAGATGGAGTATGATATGTTTGAGGAGCTATAATAAGACTCTCTCTGAAGCAGACAGAGGTCAGAGGTGAAAATGGTCTGAAGGGCATACACGGGAAGGATAGGGCATGCATTAGAGACCATATAAACGATTTCAATCTTTAATTTAAAAGCAACGAGAAACCTTTGAAGTGTGTCTTCAACAGCAGTAGGACATTATCAGGTTTGAGTTTTAAAAAGATAATTTTAATTGCTGTGTTTGGACTTAGATGCTTGAGGATGGGTTGAGAACAAGAGTGAGTACATAGTAGAGTCTAATTAAAAAACGACTTAATTAGGTTAAAGGTGTTGGTGTTTGGGCTAAGGAAATGGCAGCGTCAGAGAAGGGAAGAGCTAGACATACACGAGCATGATTTGGGACATAAAGTTCACAATTTATACTGACTGGGTGGGTGGATGCCACCTTTTTTCCTGGTGGGATGACGGAAGCACCACTGGCACAGGACCAGGTTTGGGAGAAGAACAGGAGTTCAGTTCTGGGCTTGTTGGTTTTGAGGTATCTTTGAAAGGTCTGTGTGGATACAAAGGTCTGGAGTTGGGAATGTCGGCCTGATCTAGAGACATAAATTTGGGAATCCTGGGGGGCGTGGATGGCAGTTAAAGCCTTTCCCTGAGTGACTATGGAATGAGAAAAGAGGTATTTGGAGGAACTGAATCTCAAGATATTCCAGCCTTCAAAGTCCAGGGAGATGAGGAGCCAACGCAAAGGTAGCTGAGAAAGAGGTAAGAGCTGAGAAAGAGCTGAGAACAGAGGGACGGGACAGGAGGGAAAGCAGGAGAGCGTGATGCCCTTCTGGATGAGGGAAATGGTCAGTAGCATCTAATGCCATGCTATTAACATCAACCAAAATGGGGACCTACAAGGTGCCCATCATGTGTGGATGCAAGGGAGAATGCTGTGGCCCCGTGGGAGCTATTTCGGAGTGTAGTGAGGACAGAAGTGAGGGGAGTTGGAGGATGCTGGAGAAGGAGGTGTGAGAAACAGTTTCTGTGGGGAGAGGATGTTGTGAAGGAACGGCTGACGTCAGTTTGGTCTACTGTAACAAAAACCGTAGACTGGGTGACTTAATAGACTCATGTCTCACAGCTGGGAGGCAGGGAAGTCAAGACCAAGGCACCAGCAGTTCTGCTGTCTGGTGAGAGTCCGCTCCTTGGTGTGCAGATGGTCTCCTGTTGCCTCACCAAGAAAGAAGGGGGAAGCAGACTCTGTCTCTTCTTGCAAGGGCAGTAATCCCATCATGGGGGCTCCACCCTCATGAAATAATGACTTCCCAAAGGTTCCAGCTCCCAGTGCCATCACACTGGGCATTATCATGCCAATATGTGAATTTTGAGGGAACACAAATGTTCGGTCTCTAGCGGTCATCTTATTGGCTCAATGATTTGGGAAACCGAATACTTGCTTTAGGAAAGAAATACTAGCCTTTTTAGAAAGGTGGGATGGGGCTTGGTCAGTAAATTATAACTCCTTTTCAAGGTGGCTAAACTGCATGCCATATGCTAATGTGGGCTTTAGATTACATATCCAGTTTTTTCCCATTTTTCTTTTCTTTTTTTTTTTAATATATTTTTTAAGTAATCTCTACACCCAACGTGGGGCTTGAACTTATAAGCCTGAGGTCAAGAGTCAACATGCTCTACTAATGCAGCCAGCCAGGCACACCACCAGTCTATTTTTTTTTAAGAGAGAAAGAGAGTGTGTGCATGAGTAAGGGAGGGGCAGAGAGAGAGAGAGAGAGGGAGCATCCCAAACAGGCCCCATACCCAGCAAGGAGCCCAACACGGGGCCCGATCCCACCACCCTGGGATCATGACCTAAGCTAAAATCAAAAGTCAGAGGCTCAACCAACTGAGACACTCAGCATCCCCCCCACCTTTTTTTTTTCTTAATTACCAAGAGACAATGCACCTTATTCAGTCCTGAAGCAGAACCTTCTCTTAGAAGTTACATCTGTAACAGCACACGACAGCCACATCTGTCTGTCTAATAACTTTGCTGTGATACGTCACAGAAGCCTGTGATACAGGATTTCAAATGAACTACTTTCCTTCCGTGTAGGTTTATTTTTCTTCCCTTCCTTCCTCCCAGGCTGATGAGCCCTGAAAACACACTCCTGCAACCCAGGGAAGAGGAGGGGGTCAAGTATGAGCGCACCTTCATGGCGTCTGAATTCCTGGACTGGCTGGTGCAGGAAGGCGAGGCCACCACAAGGAAGGAGGCCGAGCAGCTGTGTCACCGGCTCATGGAGCACGGCATCATACAGCATGGTGAGCACATGGGTCAGCTCTTGCCAAGGTAACAGACAACCCGGAGACCTTGTGACTTTTACAACAACAAGCATTTATTTCTCACTCGTGGGTCTGTAAGTCAGCTGTGCCTCTGCATGGGGTTGGGGTCGGCTCGGCTTGTCTCCAAACTGGGCTCAAGTTCAGCTGGGCTGGCCCTGCGTTCTCATTCTGGGACCCCGGCTGAAGGAACATCTACTCTTTGGGATATATTGTTTTCATAGAGGAGGGCAGAAGCTAAAGAGAGGAGGCAGATTCTTACAGTGTCTCCAAAAACTTCTGTTCGGATGTGATTTGACATCCCCAACTCCCACATCCAGTCGGCTACAGCAAGCCATCTGGTCCAGTCCAGATGGGAAGTTGATGCTTCTCACAAAGTTGGTTGCGAAGGGAGAATGAATATTTGCTGAACCACAGTACAAGCTGTGACAATGAAGAGGTGATCCAAAAGGCCTCGTAAAAGTTTCACTTTCTGTTTAGGGCTGAATCATAATGATGCCATATAACCTGTTGGTTAAGAACTATATTAGTTATCTATTGCTGCATAAGAAATTACTCCAGAAATTAAAGGTATAAAACAATAATAAGTGTTTGTTACCTCGTAGAGTTCCTTTGGGTCAGGAAGTCGGGAGAGGCTTAGCTGGGTGGTTCTGGGTTGGGAGTCTCTTGTGAGGTTGTGGTCAAGATGTTGGTCAAGGGTTACAGTCATCCGAAGGTTTGACAGGCTACAGGTTGGCTTCCACGGTGGCTCACATGTGTGCCTAACAAGTTGGTGCGGGAAGTTGGCAGAAAGTTCCAGTCCAATGTGTATGGACTTCTTCATGAGGCTGCTTGAAAATTCTCATGACATGGCAGCCCGGCTTCTTGCAGAAGGAGTGATCTAAGAGAGTGCAAGACAGAAACCACAGTGCCTTCCAAGTGAGACTTGGAAGTCACACACTGTCATTTCTTCAGTGCTCTGCTGGTTACCAGGTTAGCCCTATTCGGTGTGAGAGAAGACTGTCTAAGGGTGTGAATCTCAGGAGGCCAGAATCACTAGAGCCATCCTGGAGGCTGTCTCTCACAAAAACATAGGCTCTGGAATCCCAGCTGCACTAGTTACAGCTACTTGCCTTCTCTCATCTGTAAGATGGGGATATCTACACAGGCGATTGTAGGAGTAAATGGGGTAGATGTAAAGCACTCAGTTCAGTGTCCTGTTCTTAATAAGCACTCATTTAATGTATTAGCATAAAGTATAAGCTTTAAACAGTGAGGACAGGGCTAGGAACCAGACAGGCACATCAGCCTCCAACTCGCTATGAAAGGCAATACTTGAGTTATTCCTGCTGTGAACTCCCCTAGCCCTGCTTCTGTACAGGCCTAGGACTTCTATCCCAAGGTTAGGAATATAATAATGGAATTATAGAGATGAAAGGCACTTTCAAACTTAATTGGAGCAGGGTTTTACACCTGCAGATTGCAACCCTTTAGTGGGATGTGAGATAAACTTAGCCATTGCCAGCATTACTTCTACTTAAAGTATGGTCTGGGGACCCACAGTGTCACCCGGGAGCGTGGTAGAAACAGGGAATCTCTGATTCTACCAAGTGCTGCTGAATCTAGTCTACATTTTCACATGATCCCCAAGTGGTTTGAATGCACATTAATGTTTGAGATGCAGTGGACTGGATTTAACTAGAACAGAAAATATCAGAGCGTGTTTTATCTAGTGAGGTTATGCATTGCTTTGTAAAACTTTGATTTCAGCTAGATAGTTGTGTAAACATATGGACATATTCATGTGTGTATTGATTTGCCACATAAAAATTGTCACTGCGCACTGGCGTCAAGTATTTTGAAAGCCACTGACCTAGAGGCATTCCTTAGAGAGGCCCTCAAGCCACTGTTTTCCAGGATGGTTTCTCCTTGCAATGCTGCCACGATTGAACGCATAGCTGTTTGTTGATGGCCTCATATGTCTGCTGATGTGCTAAGCTCACTGACAGTAAGAAGCTGAATAGAGGGAAGAGTGCCAGTGTGGCCTCTGGCTTTAGACAGCTTAGTCTTGTTTGAACTAAAAGATGGATCTAAAAGCAATTAGCAAACAATAGAAGGTGTACTTTTTATTTGTCTGTTTTATACTCTGTGCTGGGCACTATTCTAATGATGTCACAAATATTAACTTATTTAAACAGGCAGATATTCTTTCTGTTATTTAAAAAAAATCTTTTTTAACATTTTAATTTATTTTTTATTTAAAAAAAAATTTTTTTTTAACATTTATTTTATTTTTGAGACAGAGACAGAGCATGAACAGGGGAGGGGCAGAGAGACAGGGACACACAGAATCGGAAGCAGGCTCCAGGCTCTGAGCTGTCAGCCCAGAGCCCGACGTGGGCTCGAACTCACGGACCGTGAGATCGTGACCTGAGCTGAAGTCGGACGCTTAACCGACTGAGCCACCCAGGCGCCCCATTTTAATTTATTTTTGAGAGACAGAGAGACAGAGCGTGAGCTGGGGAGGGACAGAGAGAGCGGGAGACACAGAATCCGAACCAGGCTCCAGGCTCTGAGCTGTTGGCAGCTCACAGCCACCAACTGTGAGATCATGACTTGAGCTGAAGTCGGACGCCTAACCGACTGAGCCACCCAGGTGCCCCAGATATTCTTTTTGTTATTGTTGCTAAGTGTATTTTATTGTGGAAAGAGCACCTAACATGAAATCAATCTTCTTAACAAACTTCTAAGTGCACAATATAATATTGTTGACCATATGGCAGGTGTTCTTATTTTCTCCATTTTACAGGAAAGGAAACCAAACCACCAATAGATTAAATAGTTTGTCTGAGGCCACTCAGATAGTAAGGTCCAAATGGGTATTTGCCAGTAAGTGTGAACTCAGAGTTTTAGTTGGAGTGCGGGGCTTTCCACAGTGAAAAACAGTGCATTTGGGTTAGAGTTAGTTCTGTCGTCTTTGCTACAGACAGAAAACTTGGTGATACCAAGTTCCATACACAAATAGCCTCTTACACTACAGTTCACTGGCTGATACTATAACATCTTCAGAGAGAGGACAGAGGATGCCACACATTGTTTCCAAATGATTCCAAAGAGTGAGCATTACACTTCAACTACGGTGTAATTTTGTGATGCTATAAACACAAACACCCTGAAGTTGCAATGTGAAGGATAAAATAAGGCATCACTGTTGGCAAATCTTAACCCCCAAAGTTTGCTTTCCGTGGTTTCAGGAGGATTGCATATTCTCTGTCTGTAGACATCCGAGTTTCCAAGGAAGTTCTAGTTTTCCTAATACAGCAATTCATTGCTAGATTACAGGTTCTAACTTTGAGTTATGAAAATATGGCTACCACGTATGTGTATGTTAGAGCTAATGACAAATGCCAGTTGGTGTCTTAAGCAAAGCTCTGAATTCTCTAGCTAATAATTAACTTCACAGGTTAAACATTAAAGAAGGTCAGACGTTAGGCTTTGAGCAGAAGGTTTCTAGATAAAGGTGGTTCCCTAGACTGAAACCAGTAGGCATAAAAATCAGGCCCACTTACAAAATTCTAACCATTTATGAAGGGTGAATGATGCTGTGTAATCCAGAAGGAACTTGTTAGATGCGTCATTAGCTTACAAGCATATGTATGTGTGTATGTGTGTCTGTGTTTATATACACACATGCAGGCATATATTTCCATATTTATACAAATGTATGTAAGTTGACCACATAGCTACATATTTATCCAGCTTTTCCATTTATTAAGGTTTACTGTATATCAGGCACCGGGCTAAATACTTTATAGATTTTAATATGTTGTATACTTAATATGTATGTGTTTCACACACAGGACACACACGTATATATATATAATCTTATTAAAATCTAGCAGCAATTCTGTGACATTGTTGTTATTAATATTATAGTTTTCCAGGGAAAAAAAGCGTAAGTTCAAAGCCTTTAAGGTATTTTCCCAAGGCTGCATAGCTAACGAGTAGCTACTAGGTGTTGTGCCTTATTCAGATGTTTTCCTTGGCCCAGGAGGTAGTAACTGGGTGTGGCCACCTACAGTGGGATGAACACTGTCTTGGGAGGGAGACAGACAGGAATTAGATCCCAGTGCCTCCATCTACTGAGTAGCCATGTTGACATCTCAATTCTTCCATTCTTTAGGTTTTTAGATTTGTGAAATTAGAATTCTATACCGTTGAAAGCTATGTTTTCATTTTGGGTGAGGGGGAAGATCATATGACCACCCACATGTTCCAAAAGGACTCAACATATAGTTGGATTCATGGCTACAACTTATCAGAATGAAAGGACACAGAGAAGGATCATCCAGGGAAAAAGACACCTCAGATGTTATCGGGAGAAATCCAGACAAAGCTTTCCTGTCCTCCCTCCCAGGGCCACACAGACCTGGCTCCTTCCTCCAGCAGGGACATATACTAACACATGTGCAGTGTCTCTGCCCAGGGGAGCCCATTTGAGACACAGAGTACGAGGCTTTTGTTGGGGGTTGCTCACGGAGGTACACTCTGCCTGCTTGGCCAGCCACAACTCTCAGCATTGCAGACTCCCAGTAGGAAAACACGTATTCTCCATAAATCATAGTGTTTGTACAAACAACGTAGGCAGGCTGGCAGAGCAGAATTCAGGTCCCCAGGTGGGTGAAGTTGCCTTATCGTGAAGTTACCTAGGGAACCTTCCAAAAGGCAAGTTCCCAGATGCTAGTCACAGGCCAGGCCCCCAGGCGAGCCCTTCTGTATCAGGGCTGCTATGGTAACCCTCCTCCCCGCACAGAGCTGCCGTGGAGGTTACATAATAGCAGTTGGCCAAAGCTTCCCACAGGGCGTCTACGTCTTATGGCCCCCAAATGCCTGCTATGGTAGGCGATCTGGTCCATTGTAAATAACAGTTAGCATTTATAGAGCCCCTACCACGTGCCAGCCACTGTTGTAACCACTCTACTCATTTACTCACTTACTCCTCT